TATAAGGACATTTTGGTAATTCAACTTTTGACTTGGAGGCTTCCCACTTATAATATAATATGATATATGTAAGAAGTTAATTTCTCAATTATTACTCTTTTTCGTTTCAATTCTAGTGTCTTGAGGTTTTAGTTAACATATATTTATTTAGAATGATAGCCAAATTAAGAAGATAATCAAATTAACTTCTAATTATTTTTGATGATCCCTCTACACTTAATAAGTTAAATAATTATATGGAAAAATTATAATTTATTTCAATCTTTTAACAACTATGAACCGTACATATAACACCACAACAAAAAATACATTTTTCATATTCAAAGTATCTAAAGCTTTTAGAAATATTTATATAAAATACTAGTTAGAAATATTCATATATATTATTGTAACAGAATATAATATAGCAATAATTATATATATTATCATAACTCACATGGGAGGAAGTAAGTTAATTTGCTAAGCTCATTACTGAAGTTTTTATAATATTCTTAAAAAAAAAAATTGAGACATCAATTAGTTAATGGTACTTTCTCATCTTGTAATATTTATGTACATACTTCAACCATTTTTACTTGAAATTTAAACACAAATATTTGAACTTCAAACTATGCGTAAGTATATAACTTGGTCATAAATATTTTCTCTGTTCGAAATTATTTGTCATGTTGCACTTATCGAAAATCAATTTAACTATACTTCAATCATTTTTACTTGAACTTTGAACACAAATATTTGAACTTCAAACTATGTGTAAGTATATTACTTCATCATAAATATTCTATCTGTTCAAAATTGTTTGTCATGTTGCGCATATCGAAAGTTAATTTAACTAATTTTTAAAGGTAAATTAGATCACATCAATTCGATATTTTAAACAAAAAAATTAGATATTTTAAAACTATATGAAAATTACAATAAATCACAATTTTTTGCATATTAATATGATGAAAAAATTACATCTTAAAATGTTAGTGAAAATTTTTATAGTTTAACTCTAAAAATAAAAATCAAATGTTAGTCAAAATTTTTATAGTTTGACTATAAAAATAGAAACCACGACAAACAATATCGGACGGAGGAAGTATTACATTGAAGCCAAATTAATTAGCATATTCAAATTAAATAACAATTTTTGTAAATTTTTTATAAAATTTTAGGAAAATAAAATGACCTCGACTTTATAATTTTTAAAAATCTTATATAATTTATAAGAGATGAGTAACTCTTTAATATTTTTTCGTACAGATAACTATGTTCTTGTATTTATACATGACTCGAGTATTATTTTTTTTTATTTAATTTTTTTTTTTTAATATTACTCCTCTTTGTCACATTAATACAAAAAATGGTTGGCAAGATTCAATAATTGACCTATTTTTCTGTGTATCTCGAGAGGTGGTTTCTTAAATATCGTATAATGAAAAATAAGATTTAAATTATATATGTATTTGTAAATAAATATAACTTCAATGATTTGATTTAGCCCTATAATATTTATATTGGTCAAATACATAAGCAGATTCCTAAATTTGTTGGGGGGTTTTCTCTCAGGTATCTCAACTACGTCATTTTCCTATTGAATCATTCAACCCCCATAATTTATTCCGTTTAAACAAACATCAATATCTGATGTGGAACCAGATTCATAGGGATATTGATAGAGGATACATATGTTGTTCCACAACTCATTAGTCCAATTGATAGTAAAAATATTCGAGAATAATTATATTTTACTTAAGTCATTTGAACACATTAGAAAACAAATGAGACTTACACGGTTTGTCTTCATTCATTTAATCAAAATTATTACAATTCGAACACAATTGAAGGCACTTACAATAGAAAAACAGATCAAAATCAACCAACAGTGTTTTAAAGAAACAAATTATGTGTGGTTCAATGATCAATGTAAAAATGACGTAGTTAAGGTACCTGAGAAAAAACCTAACACGTTTAGAAATATGTTTATGTATTTGACGTTTTATATTATTGGTACATAAATATAAACTCTAAAAAATTACATTATTTCTTATATCATTAGTAATTTCACATTGATGAGTAGGATGACAAATTATCTCCTTATATAGCTAATAGTACTCACTTTTTGAACCATTTTATTTAAAAAAAAATTCAGTTAGAGATAAATTTCATTTCTTTTATCATTATTTAACAAACCTTGTATTTTAGAAATTATATAAAACTACTAATTTTTTTTTTAATTGAATTGAAAAACTGTTTGACCCTCTAAATAACACTAACACATACTAACATTCTCATTAAATAGAGAGAATATTAAATGGATCTTATGCAACAAATCTTATTCGAGTTATTAATGATTGTTAACTAGAGAGAATGCTACTTATATAATAACGACGTTATTTGTTTTGATATTTATTATTACTATAGTGAATACTGTTATAAAAAGTATATAATATTTTATTACATAACGTATTATTATTATATGATTATTATAAAGAGATTTGACGCTACTCTATTTAAATAAAACTTTAAAATTAAAAAAAATATAAATGACAGAGTCCTCACAAGTGTCAACATGTGCATTTACAGATGATCACAATGATGGACACAAACAAAAGCCATGTGAGGTAGCATCACAATATTGACAGAAAAAAATATTCCCTACTTTGTTAATACAACATTTAGGATGGAGATGGCGGAGCGAGAATTTTCGATAAGATGATTTAAAATCTGAAGAAATAGACATACGAAGTAACTGAAGTGAACTTGACATTTACTATACTTACAAAATTATTTTTACCATATAAAAATAATACTGATAGTTTTCCATCGAAGGGTGTTTGGATGAACCCCTTAAAGATATTAGTATAATCGTTATATCATGTAACGAGGCTCATTGTGAGAATGACCAAATTTATCATTTTATGTGTGGTATTTTGGTGCGTTTTTGGTCAACTTCTTTTATGGGCGTCCGTTAAGTTCTTATTGATGGCATGAGTTGGTCCGTATGGCGGTCTAATACCTCTAACCAAATGCAGAATAAAATAGTCATATATTTTATTTGGGAGATTTTATTATACTTTACACCTTATAGATCACACAAAACGACTTCAGAACGTGTTACCATAATTTCAAAAAAGAACCAAGAAAGAAAAAACATTAGAAAAATATGACAAATGTCCAAATTGAAATGGGTAATTGATGCATTCCCATGTGGCCTAACAAGTATATGAGGTGATAGAACGTGAGAATAATTGAATGAGTTTTCGATAAATTCAATTTTATAATATATAGTTTTAATTATTATTATTTTCACACCTAGTTGCAATGATCACATGTAGGGTGGTTGTTGTATTTAATAAATAGTACATCTATTTAAGTAACTATCCATTACTTTTTCTTGGCTATGTCAATATTGTAGAATTCATCAAAGTTTCAAAAAGTAATTTCTTAATTTTCCACTAAGAAATTAAAATGGCAAATAATGTCAATTTAGCATTGGGATTTATAATTGGTTTGTGTACATTTTTCTCCAGTGCAAATGGTTTCTCAGCAGATTCTGGATGGACAAGTGCTCATGCCACATTTTATGGTGGAGCTGATGCTTCTGGCACAATGGGTACGTATCGAGAAACAGATTTAAAATTTAAATATTACGTACTAATTAATTATATGTAAGGGACAAAATTTATGAACTTCATACTAATGATTCGTTTTGATAAAAGTGTTTATCGAAAAAGTACTCTTTCAAACATAAGCATTTTTGACTTATCAAAAACTTGATCAAACTTCGCAATTACTTTCAAACATAAGCATTTTTTTACTTTTGTCAGAAGCTTGACCAAACATCGCAACTTTCAAATATATGCACTTTTGACTTATCAGATCAAACTTCGCAATTACTTTCAAACATAAGTATTTTTTACTTCTCAAAAGGTTCATCAAACGTCACAAACTTTCAAAAGCAAGCACTTTTGACTTCTCAAAAACTTTGACCAAACATCGCAGCTTTTAAACAAAAGGCGCATTTTTAACTTCTCTAAAGCTTGATCAAACATCGCAACTTACAAACATAAACACTTACAAATTTGGTCAACCCTATCGACTTTAAAAAGTAGACACTTTTGACTATTCAAAAGCTTGACCAAACAGACGACAAATGATCCGAGTTTTTTTCTTTTTTGGCATGGAATAAACAGGAGGTGCTTGTGGATATGGTAATTTGTATTCAACAGGATATGGTACTAGAACAGCAGCATTGAGTACAGCATTGTTCAATGATGGAGGATCATGTGGTCAATGTTACAAAATAATTTGTGATTACAAATTAGATCCTCAATGGTGCAAAAAGGGAGTATCAGTTACAATTACATCTACAAATTTTTGTCCACCAAATTATAATCTTCCTAGTAACAATGGAGGATGGTGCAACCCTCCACGTCCACATTTTGATATGGCTCAACCAGCTTGGGAAAAAATTGGCATTTACAAAGGTGGCATTGTTCCTGTTTTATACAAAAGGTAAGTCATCATTCTTCATTGTTCGAGTAGGGAATGAGTTGTTGTCTCTTCGTATGGTCTTAGACAATTTCTTCACTTAAAAAACTAAATTTCGAGACTAAGTGTGTCTAAGGTGGTATCAGAGTTAGAATCAACCTCTGTGTTATATTGTCCTTCCTCTAAGGGGTGTTACATAATTCTCCTATATTGATAGAGTGAATTGTTTTTATCGAGATTCTTGTTGATTGATTGATGTCGATTGTCATGTGCTAGAATTCAGAACTCAAAAATTTAAAATTTTTGCTCCACCTCTGACGATATTGGCATCCATGTTATATTGGATGTAGCAATATTGATTAATTGAATTGTTGTCAAACTTGTTTATCATGATTTTGGACAACTAATATATACTAAGGCTATGTTAGAATATTACACATTGATTAAGTGAAGTATTGTTATCTTTCTCATATGGTCTTAGACAATACTTCGTAGCTATACTTTGAGATTAAATTAAGCTTGAAGTCTATTTTCATTACATGGTATCAGAGTCAGATACATTCTCCAAGGGTATGTTAGAATGGTCTCACGTCCATCTATGAAATAAGTTGTTTTCTCCTTATACGATCTCGAGCAATTGATGTTTTATATACCTTTTTTGTTGATTAGGGTACCTTGCAAGAAGCATGGTGGAGTTAGATTCACAATAAATGGAAGAGACTATTTTGAACTAGTGTTGGTAAGCAATGTAGGAGGGGCAGGATCTGTTGAATCAGTTCAAATCAAAGGCTCAAACACAAATTGGCTAACAATGTCAAGAAATTGGGGAGCAAGTTGGCAATCAAATGCATATCTTGATGGACAATCAATATCATTCAAAGTTACTACTAGTGATGGTGTCACAAAAACATTCTTAAATATTGTTCCATCTAGTTGGAAATTTGGCCAAACATTTTCAAGCAAAACTCAATTCTGATTTGTTAAATGTTCGGTGAATACGTTTTTAATCAGAGGTCTTGAGTTTATAGGGCAGCGGCATGCTTACTTTTTACATCAAGTAGCCCTCCCCAAAAAAAGAATCATTCTTATTGAGGTATATTTTTGAGGAGTTGTTGGTTAAGTAAGCACATGAATGAACTATAGTCCAAATAAAGATAGTGAAAAAATTAGAAATAACTAATTATTGGTGTAAGTAGGGGTAGTTCAAAAAATTGTATTTTTTTACTATATGAAAGGATGAATAAGATAAGTTTGTTTAAGCTACATCAATTATATATTTCAATTTGCTCTATATATTGTACCCTTGTAATATGACTATTTTCTTGTTATACATCTTGTATGTATAAACCCCCCCCCCCCCCCACCAACACACACTCAAACTTGAATTCAATTGGTAAATTAATAAGTATTTCGATTTTAATTTGAGTATATGCACATCTAAACGCCTTAATTTGTTTCTATTGTGTTAGTTGAGCAATCCAACTTACAAAATGATTATCGATTGCGATACTTTTAAAATTTATGTATCACGTCAACGTCAGTGTCCATGAAATATAGCGGAGACGAATTGGAGTTTGTAGTTATCAATTCAAATAAAGTTGAGATGTCTAGATGATGTTAACGTTCTTACTTATCAGTTGATGCCAAGTTTGAGTATTTATGTATTATGCCTTTCGATATAATCTAAATATATACATGGTTATGTGATATTAGATTTTTCTTTTAGTATTATATAAGATGGTCAATTTATCAATCAAACTATACTTTATTAGTTCAAACCTAACCCAATAACCACCAATGCAACAATAAAATTCCTTTTTATATATAAAGTTAGTGAAAAAGTTGGTCATTTTTTTTGCCTCATAAACTGCACTTTTAGCAACTAGCTAGTCAAACTAAAAGTGAAGCTTAAATCAAAAGCCACTACTACATGTATACATAATTTTCCTACCTACTAACAACTTAAAATTCTCAATTACTTTTTATAATATACTCTCTTTAGTATAATAATAATAATTAGGCAATTATATTGTTGTTTAGGGTGATCAACCACATCCTCTATCCTAGGGTTGTTACAAACTTGAGGGTCAACTCTAAGGGGTCGTTTGGTTTAACGGATTAATTAGGATATATACTAACTCCGATATAATGACCTTTTGTTTTTACCCCTCTTTAGGAGCTGTCAGTTTTTTGCTCTCTTGGTCACTCGTATCCACAACATTAGGGATGGAGGTGGAGGGTGCTTACATATACGATTTTCTTATTTTAAAGTCGAAAAAAGAAAAACATATGGTAATTAATAGTACATATGGATTAAATCCAACTAACATAGCCAAAGTAAATCTTAAAGTAAACAGAACAAATTGTTTAATCCTTGTATTATAAATTAATGCATTGTTGTTACTTACATTATAATGTAATCTCTCCATTATAATGAATACTAGTCCTTACATTACTTATCTACGAATCAAACATTCAGTGGCGAAATTAGGAATTTTCTTAAGGGTGTTCAAAACTCTAGTATATATCTCTAAAATATCGTTTTACCTCTATACACATTATTATTATGCATTATATAATTTTTCGATAAAGGATGATGAAATGACCGTCTTTCTACTCCACTCATGTTAACATCCCCACAGTATCTAAATGGCAACCAAAATCAGCAAACATTAGCTAATCCATATGGTTTTAGCTAACCAAACTTGCTAACAAATATAATCAATAATTTTAGTAACAACTTCCCTTTAAATACACATTCTATGTGATCCTAATGACTCACAACAAAGTTCTAAATTCAAACTAAGCATACACAAACATAGACTAATTTTTCAAACAGAATTAGTTATGATGGCATTACCAACATGTTTTATAGCTTTACTCTTTGCTTTAGCACTGTTTTGTACTGAAGTTAAGGCACTAAGCTCCGATTACTACGACCAAACATGCCCTAACGCAGAGTCAACGATCACCAAAGTTGTCAAGAATGCTATGTTGAATGATAAAACAGTTCCAGCCGCGCTTTTAAGGATGCATTTCCATGATTGTTTCGTTAGAGTAAGTTTCCATTCTTTGATTTCTAAACTTTTTTTTGACTCGAGCTAGTTATATAGTAACTGAGTTTTTATGTATAATGAAAGGGTTGTGATGCTTCTGTGCTGCTGAACTCAACAAGAAACAACAAAGCAGAGAAAGATGGACCTCCTAACATCTCATTGCACGCATTTTATGTCATCGATGTTGTTAAGAAACAAATCGAGGATTTGTGTCCTGGAGTTGTCTCTTGTGCTGATATTGTTGCTCTCGCTGCTCGTGATGCTGTTGCTCTTGTAAGTTCTACTCACTATTGAACAACACAAGCATGATATTACCAAATGTGAAATTGTTATACTTTTTTTGTGCATGTTGTGTTAGTCTGGAGGTCCTACTTGGGATGTTCCAAAAGGTCGAAAAGATGGAAGAATCTCTAAAGCCATTGAAACGCGACAACTACCTTCTCCTACGTTCAACTTTTCTCAGCTCCAACAAAACTTTGGCCAAAGAGGCCTTTCTTTGGATGATTTGGTTGCACTTTCAGGTAAGCAACACGCTTCTTCTTTACTCGTATTCACAACCCTCGATATATAACGACTCAAAATTGTTATTTGTTTTGTTTCTGATAACAGGAGGACATACTCTTGGATTCTCTCATTGTTCTTCCTTCCAAAACAGAATCCATAATTTCGACAAACGTCACAATGTTGATCCAACATTACAATCATCATTTGCAGCCAGTCTACAGAACGTTTGCCCCGCGCACAACAAGGTCAGAAATGCAGGCGCCACAATGGATTCTACAACAACTTTATTCGACAACGCCTACTACAAGCTATTAATGAATGGCAAGAGCCTTTTCACTTCAGATGAATCTCTACTCACAGATTCAAGGACTAAAAGACTAGTTTCAAAGTATGCTAGCTCTCAGGATGCATTCTTTAAAGCATTTGCTAATTCGATGATAAAGATGAGTAGTATCAGTGGTAATGGACAAGAAGTTAGACTGGACTGCAGATTCGTTAGGTGATCGATGACCTTATTAAAACGACATATTTCTCAGGCTCAGGCCATTTAATTGTTGTACTGGTGAACCTTAATTTGTTTCATTTTCTTGATTGCTGATGTACTATATTAATTCGAATGTAGTGTGAGTAAAAGTTTGGGCTTAAATGAAGAAGAATTTTGTGGTGTAAAAACTTTTGTATGGCAAAACCACAGACGTATATAAGGCATCTGGTGTTTACATCAAACTATACTAATATGCTATGACTCGAAGATAAATTTAGGGTAGAGTATGTATTATTAACTACGATTTGTGATGACAGTATATATGAAGACGTATGTTATGTATTCATTAAGTTGGTTTATAACGGCCTCTAGTCGAACAACAGTGGAAAATCTATAGAAATGAGAATCAGTTTTAACTGACCATTAACACAATCATCGATGATGCCTTCCTGAAAAGCATAGTGAGAGGTGAAAATGCAAGAACTTAAAATTTCAATTGGAACTACAGTACAAAAAGAACATCAAAGTTGGAGTTGAAGTTTCTATTATAGGTGTTAGTTTTACTCAAGAAAAAGTAGTTAAAATGACCTCGGATGCCAAAGAAACGACTATCTGTATGTTGTCTACGAGCTTTGCAAGAACAAGTAGCAATCTGTCTATCCAAGAAAACAATAAATTCCTCTAGTTTTTGCTACACATGATGCAATGCTGCACAAAATAATACGATTTTCTAACAACTACTATCATAGTCCAGTAATAATACTACCGATATGTTTATTATACCTATGAAATGATGTGACATGATTAAGGCCGAACCTTAATGTTGAATAACAATCCTTTTTGTAATTTCGCCTAGTGGTTGTCGTTCATGATAGATCCAGATGACTAAACACGGGGTACAAATTCATGTGAATCCGTTGTTTTCATCAAACCATATAAATTTTCAATGACTAAAGTGATAAAGTGTACTAACTAACATGTTGTGTGTTCATTGAGTTAGTATAAACACGAGATGGTGAGTAATTTTTTCCGATAACAGAGAGACAAGGGTTGTTGGCCAGAATCCACTGTTTTATGGCCCTGCAAAATAGGCTCATAACATGGTCATGGTGTTATTAGTGTTTTCTGTAATATTAAAACACCAAAACTATACTTTATTCATTCAACCATATCCACTAAGGCAACAATAATATTCCCCTTTTAAAGAGAACTGCACTTTGTATCTGCTACTCAAACCTAAAAGTGAATCTTCTTCCTCCACTTCCATTGACCTGATAACGATAACTCGTTATTGCATATATTGGTTTTAGCTGACCAAACTTACTAACAAACATAACCAATAATTTCAGTAACAACTCTTCGTGTAGTTTTGTGCCCGCTCCCTTTAAATGGACATTGTATGTGATCCTAATGACTCACAACAAAGTTCTAAATTCAAACTAAGCATACACAAACATAGACTAATTTTTCAAACAGAATTAGTTATGATGGCATTACCAACATGTTTTATAGCTTTACTCTTTGCTTTAGCACTGTTTTGTACTGAAGTTAAGGCACTAAGCTCCGAATACTACGACAAAACATGTCCTAACGCAGAGTCAACGATTACCAAAGTTGTCAAGAATGCTATGTTGAATGATAAAACAGTTCCAGCTGCACTTTTGAGGATGCATTTCCATGATTGTTTCGTTAGAGTAAGTTTCCATTCTTTGATTTCTAAACTTTTTTGACTCGAGCTAATTACATAGTGACTGAGTTTTTATGTATAATGAAAGGGTTGTGATGCTTCTGTGCTGCTGAACTCAACAAGAAACAACAAAGCAGAGAAAGATGGACCTCCTAACATCTCATTACACGCATTTTATGTCATCGATATTGTTAAGAAACAAATCGAGGATTTGTGCCCTGGAGTTGTCTCTTGTGCTGATATTGTTGCTCTCGCTGCTCGTGATGCTGTTGCTCTTGTAAGTTCTGTAAAATGAATTACATGATGTTAGTTACCATAACATGAAATTAATATTTTGGGACATATTTGTTTCAGTCTGGAGGTCCTAGTTGGGAAGTACCAAAAGGTCGAAAAGATGGAAGAATCTCCAAAGCCACTGAAACGCGACAATTACCTTCTCCAACGTTCAACATGTCTCAACTGCAACAAACTTTTGCCCAAAGAGGCCTTTCTTTGGATGATTTGGTTGCACTTTCAGGTAAGCAACTCCGTTCTTC